TCATATTAAATCAAGGGGCATCCTTCACAGAATACCTGTTCATTGAAATAGAAATTCAAAGTTTGCTCAGTGATGATGGAATGCTACTAATTCTGTTTTTGATCTATTGAATTTGACCAGCCAGTTTTTTTCCTCTGTTGAATTGACCAAACTAGATCAGAGGAGAGATCATCTGCCAGGCTCTGGTCATCTAGAATTCTGGATGTGCATCTATATACTGTTGTATCATCTGCATAGATATCAACAATAGAGCAGAGTATACTCTTAGGTATCATCATCAATGTCAAACAGAAAGAGAGTTGGACTGAGGGTCAAGCCTTGGTGAATGCCAGCATTGATCTCAAAGGGCCTTAGAGAAATAACCATTAAGAACTACCTTCATGGATCTACCTGTTAGGAAGAACATGATAATTGAGAAGACTCTTTTTTCATCAATTCCATAACTGGAGAGCTTGTTTAGCAATTCCCTAATTGCCACATCTTGTCAATGGCAACATGGAAATGAGTAGCTATTATTATTACTACTATCATATATATATATATATATATATATATATACCCCCAAGTATATAATTGGTATATATGGAATGAATTCCAATAACCAACAATTACTATTCTTAAAAGAGTGCTCAATACAAACTAGAGCAGATATAATTATTATTTATAAAAATTATGATTTTATAACATACTTATGTTATAATTTTTTATAAATAATAATTATATATATATATATATATATTGTGTGTGTGTGTATTTTTGCCTGTCATCTTATGGTGAGTTTTAAAAGGATAGCAGAATTGTACCTAAGAAGAAAATTGCTATTTATGGTATTATATATTGAATTGAATTGAGTTGGATATCTATATATAAATTTTTTATCTACCATATATACTCGTGGATATGTTGCCCCACCAGATAGGTTGCACCCCTTCTTTATGGCTTACTGATTGATGATTTACTCTTGACTCACAGATAGGTCACACTATAATCTGGGGAGTTACAAAGCCCTTTTTAAACGTAAGAATTATCAGATATCTATCTTTATTTCTACCTTTATTTCAAAACTTACAATTATTAATGCACTTTTACAGATCAATTTCCATGTTCTTCTGCATAGTTTAGTACTTTTAATTTAAAACCTGTTTCATAACTCTTTTACTCATGATTAGTATTTGCAGCAATTAAAATTATAAAATATAAATTTGGCTAACCACCAATGCAAAATGGTGCAAACATTTTGGGTACTAAATTCATGAACTTTGTTATTTATAAATAGCACCTAAGAACACCTTTTAATGTTATATGAAACAACCATTAAAGAAAATTATCTCAAAGTATATATTTCATTTCTTTAAGTCATATTTTCCAATGTATTTTTGACCAAATATATATATTTTGCAGAATAAATAATGGGACTATTTTTTCTTTGTCAATAAACATCTACACGTGGTTCCTTAACTTATGTATGGATGGATATGTGAATCTAGCAGCATATGTGGTAAGTTTAAAGCAGTAACTCAGTATATGACCTTCCTGATGCCATAAATTCCCAAGTTGGCATCTACACGGGTGACACCACAATTTACTCCTGCCTCAAAAACAAATCTAGTGCCACTGACAAAACTAACCTGGACATGCATCTTGAAAAGGACCTCCAATCGGTTGTGAACTGGGGCAGGAATTGGCTGGCAAACTTTAATGCCTCAAAAACAAAACTGCTCTCTATTAATCACCACAGAGATCCTTCCCTGCCCTCCATTAAAATGTCTGATGCTCAACTTCTCAAGAGCACCTCTCTGCATCTGCTTGGTCTCACATTGACTGCTGACCTGAGATGGAACAAATACATTGAGTCAATTGCTTCATCTACCGCAAAGAAAGTTGGCTCCCTGTGCCGCACCAGGAAATTTTTCTCCTCGGAATTGATCCTCCAGATCTACAAATCAATAATTCACCCTTGCATGGAGTATTGCTGCCATATATGGTTTGGCGCCCCTTCTGTTTGCCTCAGGGTTCTTGATAAGCTCCAGAGGCGGATATGCAATATAATTGGCCCTGTTCTGGCATCTCATCTACAGTCACTCTCTCACAGACGTGCTGTCGCCTCTCTGTCTTTTTTACAAATACTTTCATGGCAATTGCTCCGATGAGCTGCTTTCACTGGTTCCCAGACTTCATGAATTCAAGCGCCCTATGAGGCTGGCATCCCGCTCTCACCCTTTCACTGTTGAAACTCCTAAATGTATCCGTCTCTTCTACTCCAATAGCTTCATGTCTCGCACCTCTCGCCTGTGGAACTCCCTTCCCTATTCCTGTCTCCCTGAGAGCTATAGTCTCCAGCTATTCAAATGTAATGTCAATTGACATCTCCTGTTGCCTTGATCTATCCACTATCCTTCTCCTCATCCTTTCCTCTATCACTTCTATCTGATCTTGCTCCAAATTTTCTGTAACCCCTTGTGTTCTAGTGGCTTCTCGCCTTGCTTGTGGTGAAAAAAAAAAAAAAAAAAAAAAAAATATATATATATATATATATATATATATATATATATGATGGATAAATTATTTCTATACAGAGAAAAACACAGCTTTAGTGTTTGGGTATTATTTCAGATTTCTTTCTCAAGGTAGTATTGTTTTACATTTATGTCAAGCAGATAGGTTGCACCGCTAATGTTTTGTGAATTTTTTGGTAAACAAGTGCAACCTGTCCACAAGTATATATGGTAATATCTCACCTTTAAAATTTGAGATTAAGCACAAAATCCTACCAGGATTTATTAACAGCAGACACAGTCATAACAACCTAAGATATGCAGATGATACAGTCTTGATAGTCATTGATGCAGAAAGTATTAAATTAAAGCAAGAATAAAAGACTAATACATCAAATATAAGATGAGTGAATGTATGGCTGCCACCAAGAAGAACATCCCAAGATGCAAACTACAAATTGGAACTGCTGAAATGAAGCTAATACAAAAATATAAATATCTGGGTATTTTTTTAAAAATAGGACAGAAAATGCAACACAAAAATATGAAGGGGAATGGTGATAGCAAGAAAAGTATTTAGAAACAAGAAAACTTTGTTAGAAACAAAGAAAAAGTGTCGAAATGTTCTGTAATATCAGTTCTCCTATATGACAGTAATAGCTGGAAAGCTCCTCACTGATGAAGAGACAGCAGAAATGTACTTCTATAGAAGGATGCTGAAAATACCATGGGAAAATGGAAATGAAGAGGATGCATATCCTGAAACTCAGAAAGAGGTGGTTGAAATTTTGAGGGCACATACTGCAGAAAGAGAGCTTGGAAAATTTGACATTCACAGGACATATTGAAAGTGATAGGGACAAAGGAGAAGCAGCAAGTAACCTACCTAACAAGCTTGTGCAAATAGATAGCAGAACAGGGAGTGAGGGAGATGAGTGGGGAGAGTCATGATCAGCCACATCCTGAAGAAGACCATCTATGACTCACTGTTAGCAGTATATTGGCATGATCAAGACAATAATTTCACTATATATTTTGTATATATACATATTTTTATGTGACACAGTATTCTACATTTAGGAATGAAATCTGGCAGTTTATGGATGCTTGCCTTGTGTAATTTTAGAGCTTTCATAGATTCTATGTTTAACTGTTTATGAAAAAAAAAATTGAGTAAAAGAAATAAAACTATTTTCATGATTCCTATATTAATATTTAAATTTAGCATATTTTGACAGCAATTGTTCTTGTGAATATGTCTTATTAAAAAGATAAAACATTTTATATCTTTTTAAAATTATTGATCATTTTTTCTAGTATGTAAATAATGGTTCACAAATGTGACTGTTTTTGCTATATAAAACAGCCAAAATTCCTATTGGGTTTATAGAAGTTCACAAAGTTGGGTGTTTGTGAGTATTTTAGATGAAGGTGCATGTTCAATGTGTAACGAAAAGATAGAAGCATACAAAACTTGAGTTTCAGCAAAGGACCATTTATTCTCTTTTTTATAATGACTGTAGTAGAACAAATTTCTCAGTGTCCGTATTTTTTTGTCTAGAAGTTAAGATAGGTAAATATAAGGATCATATTCATGGTCAGCTGAAGTCAGCTTTGTGCAGACTTGGAACAACCAAAGGAAAATTTCTACTTAGTTTATTGTTGGAAGGTTTAAACATGGTTATGGTCTGTTTTTTTTTTCTTGCTCAGGAAGTTAGAGTAAGTCAGTATAAACATTGTTATTATAGTCACACTCAAGTCAACCTTGTGCTCAGTTGGAACAACAAAAGAAAAAGCTTGACTTACTTTATGGGGTGAGGTTTTGGAAGAAATGTATGAGTACCATGTGATGGAAAGGGAGTTCAATATTCTGGGGACAGGGGAAAATAACATTCTCCAGTGAGAACATAATTACCATTGGATTCACATCTTGGAGCAAAGAAAAGAAACAGGGTGAGGCAGGAAATGTTTGCCTTTACTCTTACCATTATCAGAAAATTTCTTTCTTTTTTATTATTCATTATTATTATTATTTTATTTATCAGTTTTATTTAATTTTCCCACATGTTCTAAACTCACTAAAGAGGGGTAGGGAGAAAAGAAATGTTAGTAAGAGCTACAAAGGAAAGAAATTTATGGAGAGCCATGATTACCTATATCCCAAAGTTACATGACACATAGAAGATGACAGCATATCGGTATACAGGATTATTGTTCAAGGCTGCACATCAGGAAAGACTGATTTATATAGATTTGTTTCTTATGGCTTATCAACTCATGGCAGGTTATTTAAAGCCATAAAAGATTGTAAGCATTTTTTGGAGATAATAATGATTTACTGATACAAGACCTAAATAGTTGGGGGTGGGAAAAGAGGTTGATTCATACACCTTTCTTACAGGATATTTGTGTAAGTGTATATAATGAACCTAACCAGAATTGGAACTCAGCTCTCCGATTTCCAATTCCAAACAACTCTCCATTACATCTCCACATAACTATGTT